TACTCATGTTGTGGTGCCTGTTTTGTGGCACCGTTGCAAACCATTAGGTGTGCAGATCAGTGGAACAGCTCTCATGTTTACAGAGATTAACAGGATTGCAGCGTGAGGTAATAAAAGGCCTTTCTTCACGTGTAATGTCCATTTTCTGAGTAGTGACCTGCTTGCAAAAATCACATTATGGAGATACAGAAGTTTTCACACAGAACATGGGTGCAGTTTGTACCCCCAGGAGCATAAACTGTTGCTGAAAGAGCAGAGGTTGTTACGTCTGACTAACACAGTGGCGCTTTAATTGCAGGGCTTTTGGATCTGGCTACTTCGTACTGTGAAAACAGACTGAAGAAACTGTGTCAGCACATTATCAAGAGAGGAATTACTGTGGAAAATGCATTTTCATTGCTCTCTGCTGCTGTCAGATATGATGCAGAGGTAAACTTCTAAAGTTCAATCTTTTAAATAGGTGGCTGCTTTCTGACGTAAACTAGGGAGAAAGGCAGCCAGTTATGTTTTTCATATAAGCTCTCACTCACTGTCAGATAATGCTATTTGCCACTTGCAGAATTTGAGGATGTTGGACTTATAAAAACTGTATTTGCCATGAGAGATGTATCTTTTATTATAATTTTTTCCCATAAACCAGTTTGGGGAAGATGAACTATTACGCAGATATTTCTGAGGGTGAAAACACTAACTCATAAACAAGGAAAGGGTTTAAATACAAAGGAAAACACTATGAAAAGCAGGCTTGTAAGCCTTCAAGTTACTTATTTGTAAGGCTGTTTTGTGTGTGATGATATAGGGTGGTAGACTGGGGACTGAGTGCATTTGGTATTTTTTTTTGGTTGGTGGAGTGTTTTTTTTTTTTGTTGTTGGCTTTTTTTGTTTTGTTTAGCTACAGTCAAATACAGTTCTGGTTTTCACTGTCTACTAATGATGTGTCAGAATAAGAACTGCTTCATGGGCCTTACAAATGTTGAAGAGGGAGGAACAGTGTGCTGAAAGCAGGGGGAAGGCTGGTGAAACTTCCCTGCTGTGTGATGTCTGACTTCACTACTAGACCACTAACATGCAGCTTTGGGAGCTAGTGGGGAAGTATTCCAGGGCTTGCTTTGGCTGTTTGTGTTCAGTGTAGTATCTGTGCATTGTGCTGGCAACTTTGCGATGGGTTGGTTTTTAACTTGCTACTTATGCTTATAAAGCAGTTTTTTGGTACTCAGTAAATCTGCTCGTTGCTTTTTCTTGTAGTTAATATCCAGCAACCGGCATGCAGGTTGCCCTAACTTATTTCAGAGCCTTGCAGTGTGTTGCTTGTTTGATATATCTTGCCCAAAGGGCTGTGTTAGTGTCTGTTGTGCCTTAAGCTCTACTGTGAACAATGATGTCTTTGGTGGGAGTACATCAAAAGTAGAAGATTTGCATACTTTAGCCTCAAAGGACTGTTTGCAGGACAGATCTTCACTGTGGGATTGATTCCGCTTGTAAAGGATATAAGAAATCCAGTTACTATGCTTTGTCTGTACCTTACTAGCTAAATGAAGTTAGAAATCAAGTGAAAAGCATAGACCTAAATACTGCTTCCAGGAGAGAATGGGTGACCCTGAGGTGTTGGGATTTAATGAAAAGCTAGTTTTATGTGCTGTAATGTTAGCTGGGGACTTGAAATTACTTGGGTGATGTAGTTCACTCAAGGGAGTGTGGGCCTGGAAGACAACAGTTTAAAGAAGCTGCTTCACTGATTTTAAACTACCTCCATGACATGAAACTCTTTCTTTTGGTGACTAACTGCAGTGACTAGCATTAGGTCAGGGCTGGCTTTTAAAATAATCCTTGGCTGTACCTTGTGCCTTTATTCACCTTAAGTCTGTATTGAGTACAGTTTACTGGGAGTGCATCCGTCTGCAAATGAATTTCAGCCTTTTTTTAATGCAGAACTTTAAATTTTCCAGAGTTACTTACTAATACTACAATAATTCTGTTTATTGTATGCTTCTGTTGCATTGACTTGGAATATGAATTTTTTTTAATAAAGCAGTGCAAAATATTCTAATGTGTATGATGTAATTTTCTTTAAAATGCTAGTTAATTCTGTTATTTAAAAAAACATCAGTGTTCAGTTCTAATAAGCCTGTCTTTTTTTGTTGCACAGATGCCACACAAGTCAAGATCTGCAGCTTCAGAATGCCTGGTTTTAGGCCAGGATATATTTTTATATTATTGTTGTGTCAAGAACTCCCACTAGCACACACAGTTGCTGTAGCTTTCAGTATTGACCTTAAGTGAAAACACGATTAGTCTTTCATACCTCATGTGGCTTAAGGAGCTCTGCAAATTTGTTATGCCTTCCTGCAGTGCCCAGTCTGCTGAGCAGCTGAGGAAGGGTGTGTTCTCACATACAGGGCACTGGTCCTACAAGTGTTTAATAAAGAAATGGGAACAGTGTGGGGAGTTGCCCTTCTGTAAGGGCTGCGGTGCCCTCCTTTTATAGCAGCTTAGGTACGCATCCCAGAGTAAATTCCTTCTCAAAAGAGGACTCAGAAATATTCAATACGAGTAGGAAGTGTCCTGTGGTCAACCTTATATTGACAGGGACTTGTCTCTTTTGTTCCTTAAGACATCATTTTGATCTGACATCATGTGGGTGCACTTATGGTTGTGAGGCTTTTTGCCATGTAACTTCAAGGCTCTTAGTTAAGCCCTGAGATAAGCGGGAGGTCAGGCAGCTCTACAGAAATATTTGAGTTTGTATTATGGAATGAAAGAGTTGAATTTTTTTCTTCATCCGTAGTCATGGTTATATATCATTACCCTGAGATCTTTTATTTTTTTTTGGAGTGTAATACCTGTTAACAAGTGCAGATGAACGTCTTCAAGTGGGAGAGTTTAAAATATATATTGGCCAAAACAGATGATTTTTGTGACTGCAGCTGTATAGTAAGAACCAGATTTTGGTTACTTCCCCTTGTAATTGCATTTACGTAGTGACATGGATGGGTAGAATTATTTTCTGTTGCATTTATGTAGTGACTGTTTGGGGAGAAACCGTTAAGAGCCACTGGGTTAATGTTTGTCCAGTTCTCTGCAAAAATAAAGCATATATGGGCACTTGTGCCCGAATGAAATTTTCTGTGATGAAAACAAAGATAATAACACTTCTTTTTTTTTTTTCCCCCCCCCCTGTTTAGGACCTAGAGGAATTCTGCTTTAAGTTTTGTGTCAATCATTTGACAGAAGTGACACAGACTACAGCATTTTGGCAAATGGATGGTCCCCTGCTAAAGGAATTCATTGCTAAAGCCAGTAAATGTGGAGCCTTTAAGAACTGACACGAGCCTGTAAGTTACGGTGATGGCAGGGAGTTTTTTTTGCGGTTACAGCAGGGATGCCATAACTGTACGGGTACAGCAAGCGTTGTGTGATCTCTTGCACCGGAAGACGTGGAAGGCCACAGAGAAAACAAATGTTTTCAGTGCTCCAGAGTGAACTGTTGTAAAAATGTCAAGCAGAATATTCACTTGCATTTAACCAAGTTGGATGGTGGAACCAGCTCAAGATTTGAGACGGGGAATGCTGTGGGATGCAAAGGATACTGGCCGGTGTTATGGACTTACCTTTCTAGCCTAGAAAATCTCAGTTCTAGCACCACCTGCTCCTATGTTCAATTTACATTTTGGGGTCAGAGAACAGTCTGACCTGAGCCACTGAATGATGTCACTTAAATCATTAACTCCCTGGGATTATAGAGAAGCAAATGGCATGGTTATTTCTTACTGCATTTGCATGATTGTGAATGAATTGGCCATTTGCTGTGTGTAATTAACCAAGTGTATCCAGTGCTTAAAGTGTGCAAAAATAATGTATCCTCAAAGCCTAGGCAAGTGACTTTGAGGAAAGGAGTTACTAGCAAAACTAATTGGGAGTAAATGTCTATATTTGGGTATATTTTAATATAAGTTGTAATATGTACTTTGTGTAATCTGTTCAAACAATATTTATAATGCTTAATGGAAATAATTCCCTCTTCAGTGACTTCAGATGACATTGATTCCCTCAGAGGGGAAGGGAAATACTGTACTGAAAGTTGGGTGGGGTTTTGCTTCTAAGTATTGTCTAAACCTAAACTACATGTAATTAAATTTAATTTTTTTGGTACCTCTTCACTTGCAAACTAACTTTGACTTTGAAGAATGTTACAAACTTTCTGTGTTACATACACTGTATAAATTGCTTTATTTAAAAAACAACCTAAAACCCAACAAAACAGCAAGGGAAAACTGCCAACAAAAAACACAGCCAAACTTACCTCTCATGCTGTATTACTGAACCTTGCTGATTACACTGTACTTGACGATACCAGTGATTTTGATTTCAGAATTGAGCAAATTTATTCGTAGGCTCTAATTCAGACCTCAATGATTGCAAGCTATGGATCTGATTTTTTTTTTTTCATGAAGTCATCCATATGTGACTGTAACCCTACAGCAGGTATGTATGGATATCTACTATTCTCATCGTGTATTTTTAATAACAGAGCTCCACGTTAAAGCACTTTTGTTTTAGGTGGGGGTTTTCTAGGCAGAATTGCTCTGAGTGGCACTCGAGTCCTGGGCTTGGGCCATAAGCTGGTGGTGCTTCTAGGCCCAGGGAGGCAGCAGGCCTGAACTCCATAAGCAAATAGAATTACTAGTATTTGTTCCAGGGGGCACAGTTAATAGTTCAAGAGCTCGTTTTGAATATTGTTATTCTGTGCTTATTGATACATGCCATCCTACAGAACAAGCTCCCTTTAGGAATTCTGAGTGGTCAGGCACAGAGTACAGCTGTTGTAACAGATGTTACACTTGTCATGAAACCAAGAGAGCAGTGGAGCGCTCTGGTGCTGCTCTGCTTCCTACTGAGGCAAGGGGTGGTTAAAGCAGGGCCTGACACTGCTCTTCCTCCTTGGCCACATCCTATGTAGCAGAAGGGCTAGTGACCACAACTCCACACACAACTTTTTTGAAAAAAATGTTTTATTTTGTTAATTTAGCCTTTTGTAGCTAAACGATGCTTTTCTGTATTGAAACAACTTTTTAAAGGCAAAACACAGGGAAGGTGGATCCTTCCTTAATGGAGAAAGGAAGGCCCAGATCACTGATCCTTTTGACGTTGTACATGTTCTGAGTATAATGCCCAACGGGGTTTGGTCCACCTGTGAACACTGCTTCACCACTGCCATTACAGCAGAACTACTTACACATTGACCAGTCAAGCAAGAATAACTTGGGATTTTTAATTCAACTCCCTCCTGTTCATAACTCAGAAGGCTTCAAGTGCAAGTTCTGCTCCTTTATCTTCTTTGGAAAGCCAAAGCACCAATATGATCCTGAAAACATCACTGTCTAGACACAGTGAAGCAGCTATGGCCCAGCCAAGAGAGGGCTCACAGTTAAAGTGACTCTTACAAGTGTTCTGTTGCAGCTGATGTTCCCTTGTCTTTGAGCAAAAAGTCTTTACTGGAGGGTTTAAAAAAAGCTAAATTTAGTGTGTAACACTGATGTACTGCACAGTAAAATCTGAAGATGAAGATTTGGAAATTTTAAGAACTTAAAATTATTGCACTGTTGAGGTATAAAAAATGCATATAAGACCCAGTTCTTACTTGTGTTCCTGTCTTGGGAGTGGGAAATTTCTTAGACATGGACCACATGTGCTCTAGGGTTTCTATCATTAGAAAATCCTAAATATTTGACACCATTACAGACAGACTTAAGTGTTATTCAGACACCGTACTAGATGTACTGGCTGTGCTCTCTGGGGTCGGAAGGACTTCTTTTAAGTCCTGCAGTAGCTCAATCTTGTGATCCAGTCTTTTTCTGTTTTCTAGAAGTTCCTGTATTTTTTCTTCTGTTCCTATTACGAAAAAGAAAAGGATAGAAGCCTTTATTCGTACATAACTATTTTTAATTTAAAATACATGTTACATATGCATAAACACGGCAGAGGCTACAGATGCTTAGTTTAAACTACAGTAAAACCTCTGCTTTCTTCAGCAACATCTTTAACCCACCACTCTGTACGCCTTGGCTCTTTATGAAGAGCTGGACCACGTGTTGGAAAAAAGGAGCCTGACTGGTGCATCTAAGAAAGCACAAAGCAGTGTTTGCATACTTTGTCATCCACCTAACAAAATCCATAATGTAGCTGCTTTTGAGATTAAATTTAAACCATCACTGTGTATGTAAAAATTACTGGTTTAGTTACTAACCCAGTGCTAACTGGCATATGAACTTTAACAATTCCCTTTTCAGATTCCATTTCTATGGGAAAAAGATGCATTTTAAATCTTCAAGATAACATCTCTGAATTACAGTCTTGAAGCAAATTTACTAGCAGATTTTAGCATACAAGACAATTAAACCTAAAAAGAGATGATTTGGACAACTGCACTCAACAGCTCGATGCTCAAACCCACAACTCGAGCATTTAATTCTCCTGCTTCTGGCAAAATTGTTATTGACAGTACCCTGATGGGATTAACCAAGTTGTTTACCTTATTTGCAAAGCTCTGCCTGACTGCATTTCTGCTTCTCTCTGTTGCTTCCATTTTCCTAATGTTAAAGATTATTGAAGTCAGTGAGATCTTGGTAACACGCCTTGCCAGTATTCAGCAGCATTACCGTAACCTTACAGTGTTAATTGCAAGTTTTAAATGAAGCACCTGCTTTGTTCGGTCAACAAGACAGACAGAGGTGATGGTGACCTCTGAGCAGCAAGGTTGGTCTGTGAACAAAAAATGAGTTTTTTGCAGTCTGTGAGAATGTCAAGAGTTCACATTCCAGTAAGAAGGAAAAGACATTTTATACAAACTGAATATATTTTTTTCTCTTTTGGGGGAAAGAGGATGTCTCCAAAGGGTTAGAGTGGGGAAATTATCTCCAGATGTTTATTCCATGACATTTGGAATTACAGAGCCTTAACTGATTAAAAAAGAAAAAAGCAAAGCACCTTTGGCCTTCCACCTTCCTGCTGCTTCTTCCTCTGCAATCAGAAAGCCCGTAACTGCTGCTCTCTGTGCGTGTACGTGAAAGATTATGTACGTGCACGTTTCTAAGTACATTACCCAAAGTTGGGTGTGGGTGTTGGAAACAGGCTCCAGAATGACAGTGGTGCCTGCTGCCCAAGGAAAATTCTGGGTAGCAGATCATTGGTGCCCCATGCTTGCTCTGACTGAAGAGAAGCAGATGGCTCCTTCTCTCTCCCATCAGGTGACACCACTATTTGACAGCACTTCCCCCTGCTGCCCCCAAAAACCTGTGCCTGCCCCTTCACAGGGTTTAGCAGCTCAACAGTGGACAAATCCACAATGGAAACAGTCCCCTTCACTGCAGGGGCGGGGGGCAGGCAGCCTTCATGGCACTTCCCTGAGGTACTATGAACTAGCAGGCACGTACTTGAAGAAAAAGTTGGACATATACAAGTGAAAGCTGAAAAAAAACACAACCTCTTAGAGACTATTTGGATATGAATTAATAACTTATGAGAAACAAACAAAACAGGTTGGTTAGAGCACAGTGCTAGTAATGCCAAGGTTGCAGGTTCAATCCCCATAGGGGCTGTTCACTTCAGAGCTGAACTCAAGGGTCCTCGTGGGTCCCTTCCAACTAAGAATGTCCGGTGAGGATGTATTCAGCATTTGGGTGATCTACAGATGGAAGATGTACAGCTCAGACATACAGCTTACTTTCTCTTCTGCCAAAAGGCTGTGGCAGAAATAGAAAAAGCCCAGAAAAAGATGTCAGGGACGGGAATGACTGGCCTGTGGCAGTGCTTCCACAGGGAGGCAGATAACAGATTGGAAACCTTCTACCTCATAGAGGAAATGACCTTAAAGGGAAAGAACATGTATTTCTGTAAAATAAGGAATGGCCTGAGGGACACAGGCCTGGAAGGGCTGCCCTTGCTCTTCTGTAAGACAAGTGCTGTGGGATGCTCAGTGGAGGAAATAACAGTTTCAAAATTAAGAATCGTGGCCTTTGTCTGTGCAGCTGAATTGCAGAATTTGCTGCTACAGTTCCCCTAAAAACAAACACTACTGAGGAGCTCAAAAGCTACTGGACAGACAGCTGACCAGCCCAGAGGAAATAAAAGCTGATGGAGGTATCTTCCCAAGCAGGATGCACAATAGAACTGAAAGCAAAACTAAAGGAAGTCACTTTTCTTTGGAGGAGAGGACAAGGATCTCTAACCTAGAAATCTGAAACTGCTGCTGAGGTGGTAGCATGTCCCATAGGGAAGGTTTTACATGCAGACACGTTTGTAGTAAAGCTGCAAGCTGCAAGAGAACTCTGTATCCCTGCATATAAAAGGAATTCAGATTAGCAGTATCAACAGTTACAGTTCAGAGTAACCTTGCTGTGCTGACACCTAAGGCTTTACAACAGGGTTTGCATGATAATGCAACAAATGAAAAAAATAAAATGCAAAAATGGATTGAAGGTAAAGCGTGTCAGATGACCCAAAATCATCAGCTCCAGGAAAATATCAAAGAAGACATGGCATTTATACTAGTCTTCCGTGACTTAGTACATCACCACAGAGACTCCTTATCTAAAGCTTGTAAGGCAGATGACAAACAACAACAAAAAACCCAAACCAAAACAAAAAAAAGCCGGTGATTTCCTTCTCTCCCTACAGTCCCACTTTCATTCCTTTCTCACTGGTTCATTTTAAGAGCTCCTCTTCAATCAGTTTTGGAACCAGCCTTTATGTGTGTTTTTAGTGTTGACCTTGAAATGGAGGACAGTGGCATCAGAAAAGAAGATTGTGTGGTTCAGGAAGAACTGAGCTGTCGGAGTCATGGGGAACTGGGAGAATCACATGGTTGTGTGCACGTAGGTACCAATATCAAGAAATTCACCTGCCAGCTGAGAAGAAGGTGAAATAATTGATGCAGCTGAGAAAGAAACAAGTATGATCCAAGGTTGTGTCACATGAGGAATTCCAAGCAGGGATGTTTTAATGCCCTCAGATGAGGCACTGGCAGAACCTTGTGTCAGACAACTGCAACACCAGACACTCCCACTGCTGAAAAAGGGATTTAAATGCAAAACTGGGAAACTAAAGGGGAAGCCTCACTTTTCCAGTCAAGTGAAGGGAAAACAGCAAACACTGCCTTTACACACTGAGCCACAGTGTTAGATAATTAAAGCCCCTTTCACTGTAGTAAAAGCGAAGTTAGAAAAGGGCTGCTAAAAGTTAGAGAGGGAAATCAGAGCAAGAGACTCGCCTGCCTGAAAAAGTTTTAGCCTTGCTGCTTAAAACAGCTGAGAGTGGAGTCCAAGCCCTCGAGTTTCCTTCCACACTTGGTAGTCCCAAGCAACCACTTCCTTGTTTCCGTTTCACTCTGAGCATTCTCATCTTGTTTTTCAAAGCATGTTACAATTGCCACCAGGCCCAGGTAAGTTCTGCCAGCGTTTGGCTGTTGTGTTTCAGTTAAAGGTATTAGTCTGAACACTTGTCAGGCAGCAGCAGAACTGTAACACAGGCAAGCTGCTGAAGAGAGGCTGCAGAGAAGGAACCAAAATAAGCTGCAGGAGAGGGGAGTTCCTCTGGGGCAGAGACCCTTTGGTCTTTTAAAACTGTGGAACTGTGAGTTGCCCGCCCCCTTCAGCAAAATTGGCATAATGTATTTCTAAAGATTCAGGTAGCAATGGCTTTCATTCAAGAGTTTACATAATACTGAAAAAAAAGTTCCTCAGAATTTTCATTTTAAATGATCACTTTATCAAAATTCTCAGAAGAATGACTTCAGTGCCAAAACCGAGACCAACTGCTACTGCTCTGACAGCTTTTCTCCACATACCTGAATGAATATTTGTCAGTATATTTTCAAACAGTCCACAGTCAAACAGTGCCATTACTGTCTCTTCATACTCTGGGGAAAGAGATAAATTGATTTAATATTACTGAGTAAAGGCTTACAGAGCCCTACATTAGAAGTAACACAAACCAGTAGTTACTTATTTTCCATCACACTGATTGCTTGAGGTTTTAGGATGTCTTCCTTCTCATACAACCTATATTGAGAAAGAAGGATCAAGTTGTCAATTCTACTTTCTTTTTACTTTTATACAGAAAATACTTCCCTTTTTTAGGTCTGCACCACATGAACAGTCCATTTAAAAAAGAGCAATATACTTAAGTCATATTCCATTCCATTGTGTCAGGACTGCGTGATGGCAGGGCTGACCGTACCAATTCCCCCTGACAGATCATGTGATGTGGGACAGAGCTATTCCTGTTCAGTGTTAAAAACTATCCAAGAATTAATGCCTCAATTTTATACCTGAAGCTTCTGTTGAAGCAAAATACAAAAACCTCACAGAGTTCAACTGACCATTAAGAGGTTTCCTTTGTGATGCAGACTCTGAATCTCTAATGTGTGCCAGATTTCATTGCTGCTTCCAGCAGCTGGTGTCATGTCACACACAAGCTGCTCGTGAAGGAAGACATATCCAGGTGGGAAATTTCACTTTCCATGCATATGCTTTGGTTACTTTGCATAAAATAGCATTCTTTATGCAAAGGCAGTTCTTATATAATGTTGAGAAAAGAAGTTCCCTGGAATTTTAATTTTAAACAGTCATTTAAAATGGAAGGTCATTCTCAGCCCACTGCACAGCTGCAGAAATAAGACAGGATTATATTTAGCACTACAGCATGCCCAGGATAGGTGGCCCAGGGCCAAGTACCTGGCATTCAGATCCGCATTTCTGCTTTGAAAGCTGAGTCCCCCATGAGTCTCCATACCTGTTTCTGAAGTGTTGTCATCCATTAGTTTTTCTTGTGCCAGGTGAAGTGTGTCCAGCATCTCTTCAAATATGTCATCTAGAAGCCCAGCTTGTTTGCATTTCCTGACAAGGTCTATTTGGACTGTTAAAACACAAAAACACACTCATACAAGTGATCCGTAAAGCAGGCTTTACTCCCTTTCTTCAGTAACTAAAACCAAAACTTTTTGGCCAAAATCCTCCCTCCACTTACAAATATTTCTGCAAATCTCTGGCTCCTCCAGCTACCCAAGCAGCCCTTTTCAATGGGAAAGTGGTCTGGCAAATGTAAGCACTATGCTGGGTGTAAAATTCCTTAAGCTCTACGTTTAGCTTCGTTCATCAAAAGTAAATATCTCAGTAACTCTAATGTGCCATTCCTAAAGACTCCTGGAACTCTCCTGTGCAGGAAACAAGTGATTTGTCTTGCTTGTCTTTCTTCCAATCCTTAGTACCACACCATGTACTGAGCAGGCTAAAGAAAACAGTGCACAAAGTGAATCAGTATTGGATTTGGTAAAAATTAAAGCTACTTTTACTCCAAATGATCCAGGCATTCAACTTGTTCATTACAGCCCAGTTTACGGACCTACTTTGTCAGATTTGGACTGATAGGGAAATAATTGTCTTATTTTTAATTAATCTCGGAGCAGCAGGTCAGCAGCAAGTCTCAGTAACATCAATGCAATGGGCTGTTCGAAAGGCAAGAGCTGTGGGACAGTTCAAAGAAGTCTGCCAGTCTCCATTAAAAACACTACATTTTACTGAAGACATTTGTGAGAAAAGAAACATCATCTCACTTACATGTGATGCCCTACAAGTATTTCAGGATTCTTTATAGATTCCCTGTTCTTTACAGGGATAGTAAAAATTCAGAAAAAAGCAGTAGGCAGCCACCTGAAATACCATGCCCATACACTAAGCATATCCACAGGGATGTGAATAATCACCACTAGCACCTTCCAAACTTCCAGGTGACAGCAGTATCCCAACAAGCAATTGCAGCAGGAGCTTCGGGGTAACATGAAAAGTGCAGCACTGAAGGATGGGTCCTGTGGTCCATTTCACTGTTGTAATATCCTATTTATGCAGTAAAATACTATATTGTGTTAAGCACCCTATGTACACCCAGGCTTCAAAAGGTGCTGCTCCCACAGGACCTCCTCAGCTATCCCACTCCAGTGCACCACCCTGCTGAACTCACCTCTCTCCTTCAGGAGAGGCTCAGGACAAGGAGATCAAAGCGAAAGAGGACAGATTCCCTTTTAAATTCAACTGATACAAAACAGGGAGGTGAGGCAGAGGCACCCCCATTTGCAGGAGACAGAGAGCTGAACGCAGCAGCCAGAACAGGGGCATTCTCAGGAGAATCACCAGCTCACATCACACAGCAAGTCTCACTCGGCCAAGCCACAGACATTTGTTTGCTGCACAGTCATTCTGCAAATCAGACTTCTGCTGCCATGCCAGAGCTTGGACAGTCACTCGTCTCAGGAGAACAGTGAAGGTACATTTGCAGCATCACTGCTATCAGTCATTCTCACCTTTATGCCTGTTGTTTTTTCTTTTCAGTATTTGTAAATGGTTTTCTTCTGCTTTCTCTTCTGTTTTCTGTAAGACAATCAAAACAATATATTTTTACATCATACTAACATTTACTGCTGTTTTCATTATCAGAAAGATAGAAAGCAGCCTGCATTTCTGTGAATAGTCAGCTTCTCTGCACAGCTAGCGATATTCCTCTTCAGACATTCCATTTTTAAAATGGAAGCAAAAGCTGCTTCAAAGAAAAAACACTAAGAAAAGCCCAACACCTGAAACACCACCCTCCCATATCATTTAATTTGCGAATAGCAGAAAAGTAAAAAAATGTCTATTGCTAACTCCCAGGGTAGATGATGTTTAGCTCCCTAAACCTGATGTAATACTAGGGACGATCTGGAAGAAAAAGGGGGATGTTTTCCTTTGGACAGGATGCAGTCATTCTCTCCTGTTCCATGTCATACCACAGTACTATGAACAATTCTTCAGGTCTGTCCCAAAACTCTACCAGTGTAAACATGCATTGCTTACACAGTGGTAAACGATTTATCCCACAGTGATAAATCCTGGAACCGCTCAGCTTTTTATTTGCAGTGTTTGTATTGATTTCTGAGATCAGTAGCATGGGAGAGGACCAGAAACAGAGCAATACTGTGGGTAACAGGTCAAACAAATCTAAGTTATAATACCAGCTGAGAAATTCTTGGAGAAAAATAACCAACCCTTATGACAGTACTACATAAATGCTGCATAGATCATCCACATCCCCTCATGTGACCTCCCTTTAATCTCAAGACCTGGGAAAGGCAGACTATTTTCCCCAAGGAAAGCTGGACACCAGTTTGTCTAGAAAGAGGAGATCCCAACCCCTCCAAATGTCAAAGGGAATTCTCACACACACTTCTGTAGAGCCAAGAGAATCACCTCCAAACTTAAAATAAGCTCTATCTACAGGTTTTCTAACAGCCTGTAAAACAATTCCCCCTGCAACCAGAGGGATGTTTGCTTGATGGCTCCAAACCCTTGGGAAGGCCATCTGCAGAGTCCAGAACTGCCTGATCTGCAATGAAAGTCTGCCAGGCTTACCCGTGAGCACAGTGTGCTCACACAAACAAGTGCAGGTTTAAAAGGCTGACTGACTCATCCAGAGCAGTTTTTTGTGGAAGTCGTGTCAAGCCATAAGCAAACCTGAGGGGCGTAGTCCTTCCAAAGAAATGGAGCCCCCAAAGGGAAGCTCTTTCTCTCCATACCAGGATCTCAGCCACTGAGTCAGCCTGGTTTGGAGGGCTCTACTGCATTTGTGCCACGTTACCCAAGGGCAGTGCCGGCTCTGCCTGAAGTGACTCCAAATGCAAACAGTTTTGGTTTGACAGAATGGCAAGATCCAAACAAGGCAGGTGTAAAGGACAAGCAAACTGCTTCTGTGAGGAAGTCTTTCTCTGAATACACAGTCAAAATACTTCATTAAATAAGTCCTTTGCTGTAGCAGATGTGGGTTCCTGTTTTAGAACTGCTGAGATTCAGAATTACCATTTCTTCCGTGATGGCAGGAGAGGTCAGTGTGTATCTTCTCTTCTTATTAGCTGCACCTAGGAATCAAGAAACAACAAAGAAACAAATGCAACAACCTCAGACTGACGTCTACACATCATTCAAATTCTCTCTCTTCCCAAAAAGCTACTCAAGTGAGGCACTTTGGGTGGCAAGGCAAGAGTACGTTTCAGCTTCCCCAAATACCTGACATTACAGTGGAATTCACGTTATTTCCATCTAAGTAAAATTACAATCCTGAACCATAAGAAAAAAGTGCAAATCACTGTAGCATTAGGATATCGCTTTACCTTTTAAACTCAACAGATTTTTGATTGTTGCAGAGTGAACTTATTCTCCCTGGCAGCAGCACTACCTTTAGTAGTAAAAACTTCCAGCAAATTTATAAAAAACTACTTTTTTTTTTTTTTTAAAGACAACTCTTGTTTATGTTAATACACCCTCAAAATTAATACTGCATAAAGAATTATTTTAGGTGTCCCAAAGATATACAAATGGCATTAGGTTTTTCATTGATCTAATAACCCTCCCTGAAAATCTCCAAGAACAGTTTGACTTGTAACTTGAATATTATTTATGCTACGAAGTGTTTTCAGTGACATGGTATGAATTCTCTGGAAAAACATCTGCTTTCACTGTGTCCTTTCCATTAGCATGCACCAGCCTCTTGCCAGCAGCCTAACTGGCAGCTTTTGGAAACAGCTACAGTATCAGAGAAGAATAACTCTAGTAAGGAAGACATGGCAGGAGCAGACAAATCCTGAGAAGAGTTCAACCACCCAACAAAACCTGAGGGTTTTAAGTGCAGTGGGGTTATATGCCCCCTTCCGTATTTAAGTCCAGAACCTCTGGACAGCACTTTAGTAAGGTCTTTCCTGTTAGAAATCACCCTGTCAAGAGGAATGAGGTGTCACTGTTGTACGAGGAGGCTGCTGAAACAAGTTTGGGCTTTGGGTACTGATGCCGTACATTTGTATTTTTCATGGCGTGAAAGAAAACCATAGCCTCTGACTTGATCCAAAATAAAGCCCCATGGCCTAATTTGCGTCCAGGAGACACAGGTGTAGATACAAAGTGTTCCTTGCATGACATCTTTGACATGTGATGGGATTTTCTAAACTCTCCCTGATATTTGCCATGAGGTTGTCTTATACAACAAGAGCAGCCTGGCCCCTCTTGCCCTGCACAGTGCCTGCTGCTCTATGTCAGCCTTTACTCTGTCCACATCCAACATTTCCAGTTAAGCAGAGGTCTGAGCCTGCTTCCAAGCCCAAACTGCCCTCCTGTCCCTGATGTGTAGAGCTGCAAGGAGAGTTCTTGACCCCTAAGACATCTTATCTGCTTCCAATCAAACAGCAGAGCCCTGACAATTCAGCACAAGAACACTGTCTCAACAAAGAACAAGGGGATGTTCCTTGACCCTATTTTCTTAAAGCTACAGGGGAAAACAGGCCTGGGGAGGCAGCTTGTGCTCCCACACAGCCCAGTGCTGGCTCAGCCTGCCCCGGAGGAACAGCTGAGTTCCTTTATCCAAGTTGGAACCTGAAAGTCAGAACTCCCATGAAGCCAGAGCACTTCCATCCCAGCCTGTCTCTCTCATCACCCTGTGCAGACCTGCACACAACTCAGCACAGGTGTCCCTGCCTGCCCAGATGGCCCTGATGGAGCACCTGCTACTTCAGCCAATTCCCCAGCTGATTCCCCCAGCTATTCCAAGTGCCACGTGTGCATCTGAGAGCTGCTTATAAGCAAAAGACCTTTGGCTTGGGGAACAGCTACTCTCTCAGACAGGTAGGAGAAGCTGATTTAGGAGGCAGGGCAGACGCTGCCAAGAGAATCCATTTACCTCTCAGAGGGTCTCCAAATTAGGTGCCTCTGGAAAAACTCTAGGAGAAAGCTCTGTTCTCAGGGAATAGGCATTGCACATTGTATGTGCAACATTTGACAAAAACAAAGACCTTCTAGTACCTAAAGGGGGCCTAAAAGAAAGCTGAAAACTGACTTTGTACGTGTATGTACAAAGGGCATGTATGACAGGACAAGGGGGAACAGCTTCAAACTGAAAGAGGGCAGGTTTAGTTGAGATATTAGGAAGAAATTCTTTCCTATGAGGGTGGTGAGGCACTGGAACAGGTTGCCCAGAGAAGCTGTGGCTGCTTCATCCTTGGAAGCATTCAAGGCCAGGTTGGATGGGGCTTTGAGAACCTGGTCTAGTGGAAGGTGTATCTGCCCGTGGCAGGCAGACTGGAACACGGTGACCTTCAAGGTCCCTTCCAACACAAACCATTCTGTGATTCATCTTTGTAAGATTTAAGCCCTCCTTATAAAGGAGGTGGTCTACAGAGCTAGACCTAATATCTTAATCTCATCTCATACTGGAAACAAAGCAATCCTTGCCCTGTCCAGTACTGGGGCAGGAAACCAGTTGGGACCCTGGACAGACCCAAGAGACTGACAACCATTAGACCACAGAAATCAAATTATTTTAAGAAGGTCAGAACTCAGAACTATGGATAAATAAAAAGCAGAGCTGCTAAGTAAACTAAGAAGCTGCATTTGGTCAGTGAACCACAGCAATATCAGATATTAAACAGACGTATGTCTGGCTAAGAAGCCCCAAACACTATGACTAAAACTTTAAATAACCCCTTAAGTGGCATCATGGTGGAGCAGGACTTTGTCAAGAGGATTAGTCAAAATTTGCTAGACCCTAGAGGGAGCACACCACTCTCAGCATGAATGCTCACAGTCCAACTGAGCTTCACTTCACAGTAAAGGTTAGTCTAGGACCCACTTCACTTTGAGCAGGGTTGCGTGCATTAGATTAATAAAGTCCAGCTTTGGCTGGTTAATTCAGTGAGATTTCCAGCTACCTCTGATTCAGCAAGGATCAAGACTGCCAAACTAAGCTGCATTTCTGTAGCACAGGAAGCAATCCTTAAACAGGTTGTATAACCCTTTTGTTACACTGAAAAAGCTCTTTGGAATCCTTCAGAATGAAAGGCTCTGTTTTAGAAACTACTGCAGTGAATACAGAAGATGCAAACGTGAATGTCTGAACATAACTACAGATAAAATCTCAAGGTGACCTCTTCCATAACAGCCTCTCTTTGCTAATCAAGTGCAAACCTGGCTCTCCTGTCTCACATGGACTTTACAAGCTGCCTGGGTCTACCTGCCAGAACAGAGTCAGAATAATTCCAAGAAGGATCAGGTCCATGGTGGTTTAAGTCAGTTTTGAGGGAGATTTAGGGAAGATTAATTTAAGCATTCTTCAACTAAATATAAACATACTTCAAAAGACCTTTTTGATTTTTGTGCATACATGTGGATCTCAACCAAACCACTCCTGCAAGGTCAGAAATCCACCACTCAATATGAAGGTGGAGTAACATTTATTTTGTTCAAATGAATTAGTGATTGTAGGATGCAAACTTTTTGAACAAATGAAATCAATGAAGGCATTAAAGAAACTCACCATAGTGACTGGTCCTATTGCTTGGGTCATGTTTTGGGCAGAACACTCTAAAATTTAAGTTCAATTTTAAGGAAAAGAGAAAAAGTGTTAATAAATATGTAAACAGAGTTATGCTGACTAATTTTAATAGATATTTCCCCCTCTTCTCATTGAACATAAACTGAAAGACACTTAAAAAGAATTATCAGAATTTTTGTTCAACATTACCCACCTAGGAAAGCACCTGCTGTGAAGTCACAGGCCATGCACAAGCTTGCATCTGTACTTTTAGAGCCTCGCTGGACTCTCAACACTGAAGCCTTGAATGACCAGTTCCATCAGCCCACTCTGCCCAGACCCGCCCACTGTTCAAATCCCGAGTCAGACACACTTCATCTGCTGTGGCGATCGCTGTGTCGGAGGCAACCCTTATTGAAACGAGGTTAATGCTGCCAAGGGGAAACACCACAGAACTAACATTCTGCTCCCTCGCCCTGCACCACCAGGCCAGGAGCCTCTATGGCCACACCTGCTCACCAGCCAGCTTGAATTTAAGCGCCCTGTTTGATGTGCTGGCAGAGCTGCACAGCACCACCACATACAGCGCCAGAGACTTCCTTGGAGATCTCTGTGCCCCTCCCTTCCCACTGCCTGTGCTGACAAGGTGGTTCTCAGATCCTGAGGAAGTCAGGCACCCTGTTTGAGAGCCAGTGGCTTAAAGCTGCTCAATCCATTCCTTAAAGGCTTTAGTAGTATGCAAGCTGGGAATATTTTCACTGGTTCTAGGAGAGCAATGTGAATTCCTTGGAAGAGGCTAAATGCCACAAATATAACTGGAAATATTCCTTATCTTCTGGTTACAATAACGTGCAGAGAACATGAACTAGCTTTTATAATATGCCTTTCTTACAGAAGGATCCCAATCCACTTTTTAAGCAAAAACGCCTTATAAAGAGCATGGTTTAGATGAACTCCTCCTTACAAATCTATTTGCCAAGCCTACTGCTCAAGCCCTTGGAAGCAATTCTTAAAGGTAACTGCATTTACTAGGACATTTTCTAATTATTGTCATTCTTTTATTTTAACAAAAATAAAAGCACTGCCCTTAGAAATGCAGTCTGTTTCCCTGATAAGCCAGCTTTTTTGCATGAAACATATTTTTACGCACAAAAAAAAATTCAGATTTAGGTATGCCTAAAAATCAGAAAGCTAAGTAATGGAGACACCTTATTTACATTCCTGAATTGCTAATATTGCCCTTTGGAGTTTTTCTTTCTTTCCCTCCCTTCAGTTCTAGTCTTTCCTAGTTAGAAACAACCCTCCTACACACAAGAATATCTTATAAAGAACAGACAATATATTTTACTACTCAGGCCGCTTCACTTGGAAGCACTGCCCTACTATCATTTTTGCAAGACAGCATAACAAATTGTACTTATTTCCCCACCTGTACTCTTACTGGCCCCTTCCACAGCACCGTATGCCTCCTCTTTTTGCTGCTGCTTTATTTGCTTTGATAATCACTGCTCATCATCACAACAATAGCAACTCAGGATTTAAAAGCACCAGCACTATCTCTCTCAAAGGAATTCTTTTTCTTGATGTGCTTTTTAGTATGTCATATTTCACCATGAAAAAGTGCAGGGGTTGTCAGTCCACATCCACTGTTTTTCAAGTCTACTCTCTAATAATCTCAGGTTAGCTACAATTTTTGCACTTTATTTATGCCACTGATACAGTGCAAAATATCTTCAGGTTCCTTGAAGCCTGCCGCACTATCTTTCTCTAATCCAGTCCTTTCCCATCCCTCCAATACAGGTTGCTATAGTCGAGTTTCCTGTATTATTGCCATGTGGGACACACAGCTAGTCTCACAATGACATTTTTAAGGGTCTCTCTTCCAAACCTCCAAGGTCACCAGCTCAAAAACTCACTAAATCAAACTATATATTCAACCACTGCTTTACAAGTTTCTATCTAGAAAGTTCCACTTATTTTTCAACATCTTGAGAAGTTCAGTCTTCTTGAGCCCAAGTAATCCTTTCTAAAGATACATAATGAAAGCTATTTATTTCTGTGATCACAGGAAGCTTCCATCTTCCCAGCTACAGTCTTTCATGAGCTTGGCAGACTTCCAAAGATTTTATAAACATAAAACAAACATACCATCTTCCCTATACAGCTGGGCTTACAGCCTTGTGCAAAGACATATTCACTTTAGACTGAGAGCCCTAGTGAAGCAGCCAGGAGTGCAAGTGCTTTGGTACGAAAGGACCCATCTTCCACTGCTACTAAGGACCGCACTAGTCCACCCTTTCTGAAACAAATAGTGATTAGATGATCCTCCAGATTAATCTAAGGCTAACCTGGCCTGTGGTTTCTCCGGCCTTGCACAGAAATGAACATCAGGGGTTTTATGCACCTTAGACTTTACCACAACTTCAGCATTTCAAAAGGTCCCTGAAGTCCCAATTTCTCAACTGCTTCATGTGCATCCTGAAAACAAGTTGTTCCATTTGTTAATGGCAATGCAGGCAGCCCAAGGGCAGAGGACACCAGAACTAGCACGATCAGGACAGACACTTAGAATCCATTTAGTCGTGTTAATGCTTGTAGTGTACTTGAAATACAAGGTCTTTCATGGGAATCAAAGTTCTCTGCTAGCACAGGGAAGGAAAATTACCAGAACTTGCCTAATGTGAACAGACCTAGAAGTACTATAGCCTACTTGTACTCAGACTGCATTTACTGGAGTTTCTGAACAAACAAAACTAGAGAATTTCCATGACATTAATAAAACTCTTGGTCCTTGAAGATTAGCTAGATAGCCAGTAAGGACTGACTGCCTCAGTTTTGGCCTAGTGAACTTTCAGGTATGTTACAGGCTCAAACATTAAAGAGATTACCTCCCACTGCTGAGAAGTTTTCCTGTGAAAGGAAAATGTTTCCCCCAGTGCTTGTAAACAGAGGATCAAGTATGACTTCAAGAGAGGAAAAAACACTTCCTTTTCTAAAAAAAACTTTAAAAATCACATGATTTTTAAGTCTCTCTTCCCGACACCCCCATAAAAACGCTGACAGTGCTTAGTCAGAAAACACTTGGGTAAGTACCGGTAGACTCCCTTCACTTGGTCGGTTTCTATGGCTGCGTCATCGCAGAGAGCGCAGAAGTAGTGGTAGCTCCTGCGGCAGGCTCTCTCCTCACAGCCCACAGTGGCTCCTTTCTTGCGGCAGAAGTTGCACACCTAGGAAGGAGATGGGGTGTAGCAGGTAAATATCACAGGCGGCTACTGAAAACCTTGCCACGTGAGGCAAACACCATCTGCTGTGGGAAAATCCAGTATTTCGTTGCAGGTCACCTCTGTGTAACTCATTAGGCAAGCTCGCTCCTGCAAACTCCTACCTTGGTCATAATTTCGGCCACCTTTTCGCTATCTTTACCTCTACTTTATACTGATACATTTGTAAGATGACGCAAAGAGCCATGTGAGGGCACTGGTAACTCCCCCAAGTTATTGGAAGACCAACTGGTATTAGTGTTTGTATTTATGTTTTCTAGGATAACTTCATAATGAAAAGAGTTCCACCCAGGATGTAGGGGAGGAGGGCAGCTGAAGACAAAATCAATTACATAAAGCCCCTCATATAAATGGCCTTCCTTCTGCTAAACACAGAAGATACTTCCCTTTACACTTATGGATTGCATGCTTTTGTTTCAGGCACTGGCTTAGTCCTTTACCAAAGTCGTAGGAAACTTCGACTAAGGACTTAGAGGCCAGGAAAAACCAAACAAACAAACACCTGCATTTTAATACAGAATGAACTAAATTTCACAGAATATAACGCGAGTGATTTTAACAATAAATCTGTAATTTCCTTAATCTTAGTAGATCCAAAGGACCAGATACTTTTATGCTGTTTTTTTTTTAAAGCACAGGACAGGTCAGACAACCTTCAGTACTATGAGACTGGACTAAGTGCAGATTCAGAAACAAACTCCTTACCAGCCGCTTTCCTCTCTTGAGCTCTTTCAACACTGATGCCACATCAAACCTTATATCCAGATTTTCTGGGTTATACTCTTCAGATTCCACAAATCCTGAGGAAAATAACTAAAGACAAAAGTGACTCAGTAACCAGTACAGAAAAGATATGAAGAGCACATCTCTTCTTCTTGCACTTGCCCTGCCTAAGGAGGTTGATTTTCCTCTGTGTTTTCAATAGGCTTCCCCTACGCTAAATACGGAGCCACACTTAAATATTTTTGTAGTCAATGGAAGCTCCTCTTCTACATGGGAGATTTCACATGACGTGAAAGTGAACTAAGAAAAGATAATAAGGTAAGAAACTTATTAAGGAACACGAAGAAAATGTGGACTTCCAGCCTGCTCAGAGTAAGGAGGAGAAGCCAACAGATCTCCACACCTTGAACATCTTGTTATGTGCTCAGTTGTTCAGACTTACAGCTGGATGCAATATTTCTCCCTAATAAGATTTCCATACAGCCCAGTGCTGACAACAGTTGACTGCATGAGGACCATAGGAACACTGTACAAAGCCTGGGAGAAATCCACAAAAAATATATATACATGCACACTTGGGCCACTTTAATTACCACAGAACTGCTGAGCCATGATGATGAGTGAGGAAGGGGAAGTTCTTGACAACAATTTCCCAATAATTATAAATAGCTAATTCCAAACAAAAGGGAGCTACCCTTTCATCAACTGGCAGGCACAGTCTGTCTGCTCAGAAGGTGACAGCTAACTGCAAAAAACCCAAACAGCACAGATAAGTCTACGGCAAAAAAATGAGTAAAGTTACTGGCAGGAGAGAAGGAAGGAGAGAGAGAGAGAAGGAAGAGGAAGAAGTTTCAACACTGGGGCAACATTAAAGCCTTAATAAAACTGGTTTCAGACAAAGCATCCAAGTAACACTATAAAAGAGGTATCAAATGTTTCTGAAATATTCTGCGACAAAAAGAACTAACCAACCCAAAAAAAGGTAGCCGAAAAATAAAGATGTAGACATAAAAACTGTGAGAGTAAGAAGGCTGGAACACCAAAAGGCAGAAAACTGTTCTAGCCGCAAACATGTCTTGCACTAAATGACCCTCAGCTATATTCTCCCTCTCCTTAAGGGAGAATACAGCATCTGTACTTGATTCTGCATACCAAGAGCCAGCTCCACCAAGATTCCAGAATAAAGGGGAGGCATTCTGACAGCAAGAAAAGTAAATGCATTCTAGGATCACAGCACATTTCAAGTTTCACAGATATTTTTATATAATATATTTATGATTTTTATTTCTTATTTTTAATTAGGCACAGACTGGGAAGTTTTTTTACTTTCATGTATCAAGTGTCCATTTTCCTAAAAAGGTTTCAGTAAGTACACAACTTCCTGTGTGTAGATAAGAAGAACTTCCTTCTTATCCAACTTAGTGTCTCGAGAAGACCTATTACTACTAGTAGACTGTATGTGTGCCTAAAACCACTGATCAGCAACAGACACACATGGAAACACCACAAATCAACATGTCCAGCTGTGCAGCCATGGCCTCTCCCACTCCAAAATCCTGGCCAAGCCCTGCTGCTTTTCACAGCTTTTCAATCTAATATCAACTTGCTGGTTTGAGTAACCAGCCTTTCAAATCAGACACCACTGTGTCTGATCCACCATCAGAACAAAGAAGCAGTGAAAATTTCTCAATTATCCCTTCTTTTCCACTTGTCTTAGGTACCAACTGACCAAAAGCCACTCACCAGACAATCCTGATGAGCTGCAATGTCTCTCTCTTTGGCAATATACATAACAGAACCAGCCGCCCCTTCTGAACAAAAGGCACACGTTCTTCTCACCATCTTCGCCATTATCCAGAAAGCACCTAGAGCAGGAAAAACCTGGGACAAAACACAAAGCAGTTGATGCAACTACCATATGCCAAGCAGGACAGAGGAAAGCAGAGATTGCCCTCTAACTGCTCCTTCTCTTACATCTCCTGAACCTTGGTGCTTTGCTCCTCTAGCAACAACTACGAGTAGAACAGGCAAAGCCCACTCTCAGGACAGCAGTGGGATAGAAACCGGCTCAGAGGAGCTCCAACTGTTAGAGCAGGAGGAAAAGCGGTTTATCTCTTCTTGGAAATCACTAATAAGTCATAAGGGGCAATACAAGTTTTTCAAGCTTGCTTGGCAATATCTGCCTCAACAACAGGAGCAGCCCATCAAGTCATGCCCTAAGGAATGAAACTCCTTCTACGTGGAGAAGGTCAATCACTCATAGCAGTGCTTTTCTTAAGGTACTTCTACCACATGTGGGTCTGCAAGTCAACAGAGGAGAGAAAAACAACTGTCCCCAAACTTCTACAGTGCCTTCCAGGAGTTCACAGAAAACAAGGAAGAAACACTTATTCCTTAATGTAAGGAAGATGCAGCAAAGAAACATGGAAAGGCCTGCAAGTAAGAGGGGACAGAAGACAGAATCAGAAATGAGAGACTTGAACATTCTCTCTCAAAGAGGTGAAGCACTAAGAGGAGTGACAGAATTTTCTCTATGCCCTGGGATTTGTTCCAGGAACACCTGTTCTCTTTTCCTGGCCATATCCACTCAAGTCTTAATTATTGTTCTTCACACAGTCTCTCTTTTCCTCCAGCAGCTGCAAAACTTTGAGGCCATCTACTTATTTCACAAAAGCAGTCTACATGCATCTGGACAAGCCTTCATGCACATCCCCCACTGACAGTTTTTAGAGCACCACATCACAACATCAGCAGCAGAAGTTTTACTTTGTGGTTTTATGTGCAAGTCCACCGCAGAAATCTTCAACAACTTCCTACTCCTACTAGGTGTGATACTCCAAACTGTCCTTTGCTGGAGACGTCACCTCTGACACCACAAACTCCTGGATGACAAGGGGAAGAAAAATCTGCGTTTACTTTCAAGAAATAAGATCTGAAGCTAAATTACCCTAGTGAGAAAAAGGTAGTAAGCTCGAAGCACAAAATCTCATAGTCCAGCAAATCTTGCAACCTTTACCTGGCTTTCAACAGACAAAACTGTTTTCATAAGTTCCCATCTCCCTTGCATAAAACAGACTGGACAGTACCAAGTGAGAATTGCACTGGAGTAGAAGGGGATTTTTTATATGTTTTCTCCCCTCTGGCTCATGCTACTGAGAGTTTACCTCATCACAACAAGCCACTTTACTTTCACATACATCTGGGGAGTCTTCCCCCCCACCCCAACCTTCTACCTCTTGTAAGCAAGGCAGCAGGATAGGGACTGATTTCCAATATTCATCTATACAGTGACCATCACAACAGTTTCAGAACTTAAGCATTAAATAAATATGACAGAAACAAACAGAAATATACAGAAATACTAGAAATAGAACAGAACACAGAAATTAAAAAGAAGAACCAAGTGGAGTTTGAATGGTCTAGAATGCAGGAAAAGTTCTCTGCAGCAAGCTAATACCTGGAATTGATGCAGATACATAGGCCCTGCTCATGCCCAGTCAGAAGACCCAGCTCTAGGAAATTTGTGAGGAAGAGGCTAAAGATGGAGTCTACAGTCCCTGGTGTTCTTACAGGCTCAGAAGAGATCACTCACCAAATAACATCACAGGCAAAACAGGCTCAACTTGGGGATATTAACTGAATTTATTACTAATAAAATCAGAGCAGGATAATGAGAAGTAAAATAAATCTTAAAAACACCTTTCCCCCACCCCTCCTTCCTTCCCAAGCTCTACCTCCTCCCCTAGTGGCGCAGGGAGATAGGGAATTGGGGTTACAGTCAGTTCATCACATGTTGTTTCTGCTGCTGTTCAGGAAGAGAAGTCTTTCCCCTGCTCCAGCATGGGATCCCTCCCACATGAGACAGTCCTCCCTAAACTTCTCCAGCGTGAGTCCATCCCACAGGCAACAGTTCTCCACAAACTGTTGCAATGTGCATCACTCTTCCATAGGGTGCAGTCCTTCGGGCACTGCCTGCTCCAGTGTCGGTCTCCCCCAGGGCCACAAGTCCTACACCAGGAAACTTGCTCCAGTGTGGGCTCCTCTATCCTTGGGTCTGCAGGTTCCTCCCAGGAGCATGCTTCAGCATGGGTTTCCCATGGATTCACAGCCTTCTTTTCAGGCACCCACCTGCTCCAGTGTGGGTCTCCTCCAGGGGCTGCAGGTGATTCTCTGCATCCCCATGGTCCTCCATGGGCTGCAGGGACACAGCTGCATTACCACGGTCTGCCCCAAGGGGCTGCAAGGAACACAGCTCTGGTATCTGGAGCACCTCTCCTCTCCTTCTCCACTGAGCTTGGTGTCTGCAGAGTTTTCTACTATCCTCTCTCTCACACACACACATAACTATATAGTTTTCTACTACATCCTCTCAAATATTTTTACTCCCTTCTTAAATATGTTATCACAGAGGCATTACTATCATTCCTGACTGCCTCGGCCTTGGTCAGTGGCAGGTCCATCCTGGAGCCAGCTGGCATTGTCTCTGGTCTGATATGGGGGAAGTTTCTAGCAGCTTCTCCCAGAAGCCACCCCTGTAACCTCCCCCCCCGCTATCAAAACCTGGCCATGCAAACCCATGACACCCCCACAGGAGCCTTGCTTCAGTTCCTTGCTCTTCCCTTGCTAGGGAGTACTGCCAAGAAGAGGACATGGAGCTAAACGAGGCAATAGATCCGGATGGATCTCCCATGTAAGAAGGGGGAGGCTAAGGGCAGGGTTCCAGTTTCACAGTTTAATTACGTTTCACCTAAACAACGTCTTGCTTTTGCAGGGCTTAAGTCAGCCACTCATGGATTCCAGTGGAACCCCAGGATCTGTCTGAAAAGGTACAAATTCCTTGTTCTTTACTCTGCTCTTTCAGTTGCACTCACGACAGGGCAGTTCTTATTTTTCCTACTGTGTCTTGTTCAAGTCGAGGAATCTGTTCCTTGTACAGAAGCTGGTCTGCATCTTTGATCACCTCCGCCACTTCTCAATCCCTTCTCTACTCTTACTATGCTCCAAGAGGAGCAAGCCATCTCCAAAAGGGTGGGCTACCATTTACACTACAAAGTCACAAAGTCACTCTGTACCCTTTTCTTAATAATTCTTAATACTCCAATCACATTTTAGACTGCTGCTGAGCAAAGAGCTGACACTTTCATAAAGCTATTGCTGGAAGCACAAAGCAGTGAAGACAATGCAAAGCTCAATATGCGACAGGGCCCACACTGATGAGAGCAGACATGGAAAACGGATGGAGGGCCAGTGGTTTGCACTGCCACAGCATCTGGGATGGATGTGAGGAGGGGTGGGAGCCACATGGTCTCATTCTTCCGCTTGCTTACCAAGCCTGTACCAACTACTCTTCCTAAGTACACCATGCAATGCAATCACAAAGAATGGAAAGCTGGACGACAGTCCCAGCCACAGCACGTTGCACAGTAATGGTGAACAAGGTATAAAATACCCCAATTCGTACCAAACTGGGAAGGTGAGAACACAATATGGAAACTGTAGGGACAGATTGACAGGTTTGTCCTCCTCACCCTCCCCAGAAGGGATACCTTTCAGTGAGACTTGTGTACTTGGCTATACCAAGTCACAGAATCACAGGATCAACCAGGTTGGAAAAAAAATCATTGAGTTCAACCTATGACCAAACGCCACCTTATCAACTAGACCATGGCACTGGGTGCCATATCCAGTCTTTCCTTAAACACCTCCAGTGATGGTGACTCCACCATTTCCCTGGGCAGCACATTCCAATATCTAATCACTCTTCCTGTGAAAAAGTTCTTCCTGATGTCCAGCCTAAACCTCCCTATGTTTTCACACAGAATATTAAGCTGTGGCTGCAATTGTATTGTTAGTGCTTTCTAGAGCTATTCTGCAATAACACGCACATATCTCAGACAATCCAAAAGAACCTCATATATTGTTTTTAATAAACCATACTCTTCGTGAACCCAACCAGCTCCTCTGAATGTGACCAGACCTAGAGTTAACTGACTATCCCTGCACCCACTGTCAGGCCTAGAATTGTGGTTTTGCAAAAACTATGTATTACAGTTCCCCAGATCTCTTTCCTAAGTGGCATCAGCATTACAGCTACTGCTCTGACATATCAATCATATTCCACTTATCAATGTTGGATTTTCATCTCCTGTTTTACAGTCAATCCCTTGCTGTCACAAAGTCCTTCTGTAACCCTCTGCTTCCACTTCCACTGCCACAGGAGCAGGCTGTGGGAACCCAAGGGGACCAATTCACTTACATGAGCGGGAGGCCCTTCCACTGCCCTCCAGTCAGAAGACAGAAATGCAGCTGAGAGAAAGGAACAGTCACACCTGGCTGCTTCCCCTGTACCTGTGCCATTTCCTCGAAGCAAGGCTGTTGGGGTTGGTTTTGTTTTCGCAACAGTGACAAAAGGCAAGAAACCGGGAAAGGAAACAGAAAGTAAAAAAGGACAAGGACATTGCTGGCAAGAGCACACTTGTGTCACTTCCAAATACATCCTGCTGAAACATCTCCAGACCCAATTCTGAAAGCATCCTTGCATGCAAATACACATATTTTACACGGGAGGCACAGAATGTCACGTGGCATATCCATAGAGGGGAAAGGAAAACAACCCAAGTGCCCTGACTTCCAGCAGGCCAAAGAAACCCACCGCCCCAGCTCCAGCTCTGCTCTCCTCTTCCCCGCAGCGCAGCGAAGGGCTGGATCTACGGAAGCAGGAAGACAGAAGGAAATGACAGATCAGCTCCCCCCCCCACTCACCGTGCCCCCCATTTCCGCTTTGTGGGAGAAGAAGCCCAGCTGGAGATGGGACGGGTTAGGGTTAAGGATGGGATGGCTCGACCCACAAGGGTCCCTCCCCATTAACCCCAAGTCATTACAGCACAAACACACCCAGCCTTTGCAAGGAACAAAACCAAGCAAAGTCTGCCTTTCTGATCACCTTTCACTTGTGGTCACCTCGTTCCAAACGAGGATGACAAGGGGCATCTTCCACTAGACCGGGCTGCTTAGAGCTCCATTCCACCTGGCCTTGAACACTTTCAGGGGCAGGCACCCACAGCTTCTCTGGGCAGCCTGTGACGGGGCCTCATCGCCCTCACGGTCAAGTATTTCTTCCGGACACCCACCCTAACCCCGGCGCCGCCTCACGGCCCGCCCGTCCCGCCTCTGCGCGAGCCCCGGCACGGCCCATTCATTGGCGCTGGGGGGACGGAGGTGGCGGGGGGGTGACCAGGAGGCTTCCAGTCCCATGCGCTCCCCCCGCCCCTCCCCCCGCGTGCCCTCGGTGGCACTTACCGCCCGCTCGCGGCCCGGATAGCGCGCGCCGCCGCTCCCACCGCCCCCTCCCCCGCCCCTAGCGTTCCCGCGAGGAAGTGGCCAGGCCCCGCTGGGCCCGGAGCATGCGCGGTGGCGCCCGCCGATGCTCCGCCCGGCGCACCCCTCCTTCCGGGCACTGATTGGCTGCGGCCCCCGGGGCGGGGCCTGGGATCGGAAACACGGGTTCGATACCCGCCGGGCAGCCGCTTCCCGAGGGCTTTTCCCATGGGAAAGGCGACACCCCGCAACCTCCCATCGCCCTCCCCCCTCCTCCCCCCTTCACTTTGCCCAGAATCACAGAATCAATTAGGTTGGAAAAGACCTCTGAGATACTGAGTCCAACCCGTGACCGAACGCCACCGAGACAAACCAGGCTGTTGGGAAAATCTTTATTTGTAACAGATAGTGTTGTACGGGGGAAAAAAACCCCCTTTCTTAAGAAAGAATGTTCTTTGATGTTTGATCTTTGTAACCTTCAAGACTAATGAACAAGAAGGAAGATTCAATCCATGAAAGAGATGGCAGCCAACAAGCAAGATTTAAGTCCAGATGTCCAGATGTTAGAAAAACAAACTGAAGTTTAGGGCATGACATGCTTCAGTGATTGCAGACATAGGTTGACATAGTTTGGGAAGAAGGATATAGCACTGAAAACGGACAGAAAGAATGCAGAATTTACAGGCCACAAGGACATTTGGCAGAACTCATGAGATAAGGAAGAAGCTCATAAAACCAACTCAGTAATTGTGCTGAAATCAGCTCCAAATGCGTAAAAGGTAATTCTGGCAGGGGGGATCAGAGACCACTGATCCACAGATCAGGAAACCCACTGACACTAAAGAAAGGAGAAACTGAGCATGCAACTAATGAGCATGAGAAGAGAGAGAATCATTAACTGATAGAAGATAGAATATGAATATGGGAACAATGTAACTTGTAGCCAATGAACACTAATTTCTTTGTTTGCTAAAGTGTATAAATAGTTAAAAGTTTTGATTATTGGTGTGCGTGTGTCAGGAGGAGCAATTCCCCTATGCATCTTGAGCCAAAGAAAAAGTAATGCCTGCTCAGCTTTCTAATACTGAAATTACAGTGTTACAGACTTTTATTTTCCCAACATTTTTAGTGACAATTTCTGGCGATCCAGATGGAACCCTGCAACCGATGCTTGACGGATTCACAGAATCGAGAGGACTCCAGTACGCACCAAAGGTTTTTCAGGGAGATCCTCCAGTCCCCTGATCTGTTTAGTTCAAGGCATGGCCCCTGGGATTTATTAAGGTGTTATTGGAGGGGTATAGCAAGCTGCTGGAAAGTCTTGCTGGATCAAGGGAAAGGGAACTTGGAAACTAGGTTTTGGGCTAGTTTGCGCAATACGATGGGGATACCCAGAGTGCCAGCCCCACGGAAGGTTAAAAGTGCGAGCAGGTTTTGCATACCCCTCAGAGTCAAAAGTGTGAGTGGCTGTCGCACATCACTCTCAGAAGGAAATGTAACTGTGTTTTATTATATTCTATGAAGGGTTCTGGTCAATCATCAAAATGGGGGGCTTTGGAGAAATCATCCCGAGGATGTATTTTGAAACAGTGGAGGGAGGTGGGAGGTGCAACAGAAGGCTCTCTCTCCAGAAAACAGTTAATTAAATATTGTAATAACTGGTGGCCTTTGTACTCTTTGGATGATGGTGAAAAATGGCCAAAGAATAGAACTTTAAGTTATAATACAATGAAAATACTTTGTGAGCACCGATGTATATAGGCTTGGGAACTGACACCAATCATACAATTAACACATGAATAGCAGGTGGTTCTTCCAAGACTCATTTATCAAGGAACAAAGCAAGATGTGGGTACAAGTTTCACAGTGACCTTTTCCATTGTAGGTAATTTGACTACAAGCCAACCACATTATTCTATAAATGACAGCCTGAGTGAGCATTCTTTGAGCTCTCCTTGGTAAGCAGCTGGCTGCATGGTAGTGATCTCCTCATCAGCTGGGACACCTCTCTCAGTTACTCCTCGAGGCTGGGAGACCCCTGCCCAACTGCAGGTCCCTGGTAAGTGACTGATATTGCACATAATCTTGTATTAGAGTGCACTGGATTTTGTATTGGTAATTGATTTTGTGTTGGTAATTTTAAATCATTATTATATCCTGTGCAGTAGAAGAGTAAACCTTGCCATCAGACTTTGTTAAGTAACACTGTTACAACATCTTTAATAAAACCACTTTTTCTGATACCTTTGCTGGTGGTTCTTCAAGTGGTGTAAGTCGACCTCCAACACCTCCTTCTTTGCACAAGGCTCCAACACATTCAAAGGCCATATACCTGCACAGCCATCCCTTGCTCCACTTCAGGGCCACCTCCTGCATCTGCACTCAGTGTCCCCTAATGTAGCCTGTTTCTCTATTACCAGAAAACGACATGGCAAGGACTTCTGTGGCCCCTTTGTCCCATGCTACACATATAGCACAGAATTGAGGTACACTGGATTTCTCAAGGAGTTCTCTGTGTGTCACAAACATGGAAAGAGATGCCTTTTATGGCAAGGCAACCCACCTAGTTCATTAAGGGAAGCCAGCTGATGTAATCTTTCTGGATTTCAGCAAAGCTTTTGATACTGTCTCTCACAGGATCCTTCTGGACAAAATGTCCAGCACACAGCAGGATAAACACATCATGTGGTGGGTGAGCAATTGGCTCACAAGTTGGGCACAGAAGGTAACAGTGAATGGGGTGACATCAGACTGGTGGCCTGTCACTAGTGGGGTTCCACAGGGCTCCATCTTGGGCCCTGTGCTCTTCAGCATCTTCATAAATGACTTGGACATCGGATTTCTCTTAGAACGCTTCCATCAGCGCTGCCTCCGTACAATCCTCAACATCCACTGGACTGACTGTGTGACCAACACGTCTGTCCTTGAACAGGCAGCAGTCCCAAGCCTTGAGGCCATGCTGCTGAGAACTCAGCTGCGTTGGGCAGGGCACGTCTCCAGGATGCAGGACCATCGCCTCCCTAAGATCGTGCTTTATGGGGAACTTGCCACTGGCTGCTGCAAGAGAGGAGGCCCAAAGAGGAGATACAAGGACTGCCTGAAACAATCCCTCAACCTTGGCAATATCGATCACCACCATTGGTCTACTCTGGCCTCCAATCGGGAGGCCTGGAGACACACCATCTATAACGCTGCTGCTGCTTTTGAGAACACACGCAGGATCACTCTCGAGGAGAAAAGACAACGCAGAAAGAATCGCGTCTTGTCGATATCACCTGGAGAGTCTTTCTGCTGTGCGTTCTGCAACCGGACTTGTCTATCTCGCATTGGCCTTTTTAGCCATCAACGCGCTTGTAGCAAGCGTGGGTAGAGCCCCTCTCAAATCTTCGTTCGCGAAGCCTAGCCATGATAGGACATCGGACTGGAATGGATACTGAGCAAGTTTGCAGATGACACAAAACTAAGAGGAGCTGTTGACTCCCTCAAAGGCAGGGAGACCCTGCAAAAAGATTTCAACAAATCAGAGGGCTGAGCAATCACCAACCACATGAAGTTCAACAAGGGGAAGTGCTGGATTCTGCAGCTGGGATTGGGCAACCCTAAATGTTCATATAGACTGGGAAATGAGGTGCTGGAAAGCAGTGCCATGGAAATGGACCTGGGGGTCCTGGTCGATGGCAAGTTGAATATGAGTCAGCAGTGCCCTGGCAGCCAGGAGGGCCAACTATGTCCTGGGGGGCATCAGGAAAGCATCACCAGCCAGTCAAGGGAGGGGATTGTCTCGTTCTGCTCTGCATTGGTACAGCCTCACCTTGAATATTGTGTGCAGTTTTGGGCACCACAATATAGGAAAGATATCAAGCTCTTAGAGAGCATCCAAAGGAGGGCAGCGAAGACGATGAAGGGCCTCGAGGGGAAGCCGTGTGAGGAGCGACTGAGGTCACTTGGTCTGTTCAGCCTGGAGAAGAGGAGACTGAGGGGAGACATCATCACAGTCTACAACTTCCTCACGAGGAGAAGAAGAGGGTCAGACACTGGTCTCTTCTCTGTGGTGACCAGGTGACAAGACCTGAGGAAATGGCCTGAAGTTGTGTCAGGCGAGGTTTACGTTGGGTAACAGAAAAAGATTTCTTCACTCAGAGGGTGGCTGGGCACTGGAACAGGCTCCCCAGGGCAGTGGTCACAGCACTAAGCCTGACAGGGTTCAAGATGCATTTGGACAATACTCTCAGGCACAAAATCAAGTGTGACTCTTGGGAGTGGGTGCAGGGCCAGGAGTTGGAATCGATGATCCTTGTGGGTCCCTTCCAACACAGCATATCTTGTGATTCTGTAAACCCAATAAGAAGCAGTCATTTCTCTCCTGCAGCAGCAGAACTTGTCCAGCTCACTTTGCAGCACAAACACAGCTCTGCAAACTGTTCTGATTAATGTAACGTCTGTTCAAGATTATTTCTCCCACCAGATCCATCAGGCTTAGGTCTATTTTAACAATTCTTAGCTCCCAGACTGGCAGACTTGCATTCACAGTGAGTTTCAGAAAAGCAAGTTTTACTAACTCAGCACTGTGGAAGGGCACAGAAAACACCAACAAACTCTTGCTCTCATCAGTTGTGTCTCTGCTGCAGATGGCACGGAGCACAAGTTCTTCCAGTGCACTGTGAACTTTGCTTGCAGATGAGAAGAGGGGAGAGGGAAGACCAGGAGCACAGAAATTATCTAGGAAAATTTTGATGCCTGTTCTTAGGACAAACAGTTCTAATTCTGTAAACTACCAAAGTGACATTTAAGTGTAAATTTTAAAAAAATCAGGTGAAAAGAATTTTAATTGAATGCAATTAGCACCACAGACTTGATCGCACTGTTCGTTGTGCAGTAGTCCTGCATATGTTCGGCATATAAATCCCAGGGTACAAGGTGTGTTGGCGGTAGGGAAGCTCTACCTATAAGATTTTTTTCCTGCACTTCTGAACTCCACACTGACAGGAAATCTCTGTCTCTGGCATGGTTCCAGCTTCATAGCCGTAATCCCACGTGAGTTCAGTTCCAGCTTTCACATGTCTAAGAAACAAAACACTCGGTCAATTTGTTCAAACTGAGTGAAACAGTACTGCGTTTACAATTTGTCACCAACAACTCACATGCAAACCCAAAGACTGTATGGGGCAGGGACCATCACACAGGCAGCTTGTTGGGAGAGAAACAAGATATATAAAGAGTCTCTGACACACACATGCTGCTTGGCCTACCAGAGTTGTACAGAGTGCAAATACCCACACATAGATGAAAAGAATTTATCAAGCAGTGCAATAGTGTCGGAGTATAAACAATATAAACAACCTGCTCTTAGACAAAATTCTGGGAAACAAAAATCAAATGAAACAAAATAAAACAAACAACAAAAAAGGAAAACTACATAAGTGAACACATCCTAAATGAGAACACAGTTTTGTTATTTTTACTAAGTACAGTGCATCACTGAAGTCTGAATAGATCTCTAGATATGTTGGTGAAGACTATCATCTTTGGCCTGACAAGCTACGTCTTAATGCAATTGCTCAAAGACTCAGAATTAAACACACGCTTCTCATGAACCAGCTGCTCTGACAGTACATGAAAGAGAAGAAATTTCTAGGGTAGGAAATTCATTGCCCAAAATGAATGCCAAACTAAATACCTTAGACTAATAGGCTGAGGGACAACTGATGGAAAATACAATAAAATATGAGTATTATAAAGAAGAGAGTAATTCTCCAATGTTTCTCACTGGATACAATGTAAGGGACATCCAGTGAATTACCAGTCAGCAGGCTGAGAACAAACAATGAGAGCTTTTCAAGCAGCACATTTCAACCTGGGACTTGCTGCCTTAAGATGTTCTGCAAGCCAGACATGTAAAACAAATGAAAAGGTGATTGGGCAAGGTCATGGAAGGTACACAATTAAGCTCAATGATCCAGATGAAGTCCTTAATGTAGAAAAGTTGTAAAAGGGTAATGTCCAGAAAAAATGTGAGAGCCAGTCAGGGAAACTCTCCTTCAACAACCCTCCTTCTTCCCTAAGTGTCTTTGCTGATCACTGTTATCTCTCTCTACTTGCCTCAGTCCCCACTACACATATCTTTACAAAGTACCTGAGCCAGAAAGTCTCTAGCTAAAACAAAATCTTTTTTCTGACGTATTTCAATGTATCATCTTCACAATTCTTGGAAGCCTCCCGGTGCAATCCCCAGCATCTGTGTTAGCATGGACCAGGGTTGCAAGACTCCAAAGAAGATCAGTGTTCCCAGGAACTGGTTTGTCTGGCACAAATACTCTCCTCTCTATTTTAAGTTCTCAGCTAGTATCCTCGCTGGTACATGCATCTGCCAGATTCATTCAGACAATTAATCCTTCCACCCCTGGGTGGAAGCTGCCGTCTTCTTGCATCTTACTGGCACCAGCACTCTGTACCACCCTTTCTATCAGCCACTAAGGAAATACTTGCATCTTTTGCTTTCAGGGAAAATTTTCACCCTTTAAGTATCACAGTGCCACCTCCCTGGGGCATGCTGGGCTACAAAAAGTCCTGCTTCTCTTGATAGCTATGAGGAGAAGGCCTGAAGCTAGCTTGTTTGGCCCACAAAGTGTCTCAACCCTAATATCCTGGGGTTTAATCCTGCCCTATGGAACCAAGATCTTTGAGACAGAACAGCAGGATGAGTGAATCTTGGCTTTCAAAATGACCATGCCAAGTTAAACCTATTTCTCCACTGAAGAAGATAATCACTGAAATGGACACATCAAAATTAAGCTTCCCAACTTTACATTTCAATGCAAAACTGAAGAAAAACTTATCAGCGATAATCAAGAAACTGTATTTCTTCTGTTTTTAGTGCACAATAAGAACTCACCAATAAGAAGGTAATGTTGTGCATTCGTGATCTAAGCATCCCCCCACACCCCTCAGCATAATTATGTCCTAATAACTAATAACACTGCTTTTTTTCTCTAGTGCCTTGAATGAACAACATTAAACTTCCAGAAATTCACCTGTTTGTGAAGAACGCCACCCATGGAAAACTTCTGTTGTGAGTCTCTACAAACACGCTTTGTGCAAAGAGATTTGGGCAGCAGCTGTGCTGTAAAACAGGAAATCTGTATTAGAAACAGTGAAACTCCATATCATTGGCTGAAAAACCTATTTTGTGTCAGATATTTGTCGCTAGTAGTTTCTTCCTTCCCATCTCCAGCCCACAAAGAATGCCTATTACTCATTGCCACTGCCACTTATTTTTGCAATAATTATGTCTCTTTAAAGTATTACTTTTCGTGAAGTTGTCCTCCAGAAATTTATGGAGAAAATTCATCTTAGATTCAGAATGCACCACAAATAATCAGTATGTACCTTGCTGTCAGCCAAGGGAGCAGTGATGAGGAGCAAGCAGTGGATTAAATTATTGTGTGTTGGCAAAGTACCAGATGTGAAAGGTGATTCAGGTGCTCATAGGAACATGTGTATACTCATGGCTACAGAAGAAAGATTTCTGCAAGATGCATTACTAATCTCAATACCATACTACCTCTTCAAGGAGGAACAGCAAGGATTTTGCTGTAAGACACATATTCTGCCAATGAAGAGAAATAAGTTATTTGCAGAGTACGTGCAGAAATGTCTATTCATCTTAGCTGGAGGTACTTGGTAATTCATTACTATTTATTTCTTGGCAAGTCAAAAACTGAGAGACTTATTTAGTAGACGTGTGCACAGTAGGACAGACCACTTTCTGAACCTATGATTGAATAGTAGGGAAGTTTTGTAAAATATCACAACACTTGTCCTAAACCATCACTAACTAGAATTTACAATGGCTGGGAGAAGGCATGTGGATCAACAAAACTGCCATTTGCTCTCTAGAACCCCCAAAAGGCCATCAGGGAAAAGGAAGTCACTCATTACTGGGGAATACATCATTCAGGAACCCGGTGGTGCCAAAAACTACAGCTGGTATATGGCATGCATCAGCTTATGAAGGCACTAACAGTGACCCAGCCTACTGTCCTGTCACTTGTGATGGCAGGGAGCACCACATGTGCCTTCCTTGTCATGCATCTACCACATATGTGGTTTATGTGCAAAAGCTTTCTAGCTTAAGCTTAAATAAATAAATGACATATTTGCAAAGACAATGAAGAGAACACATGCAACTTTTTACTTACATTTAGAAAACGACCCACATTTCCTTCTTTTGTGGCATCCAGTACATAAATATTTTCCTCACCGGCATTCTTTGGAAGGATCCCATCTCCATCAGCCTCCTCACAAAATGCATCTTGACTTGACTGCCTGCTATTTTCCTCTTTGCAGTCAGCTTTTAGGGGGTTATTATTGGATGGCCTCGCAACACATGTGTCATCCAGCACACCTGACTTGCCACAGTCAGCACCCTGCAGTGACAGACTCTTTCTTTTGCATCCTTCACTGTCCACACCAACAGACTCAGTCTGCCCGATTTCCATCGGATGTTCTTCCTTTTGCTCCTGGGTGGATTCTGTCAATGGACATGCAATTATTTTTCAACATCAGTTTAAGGCCAAAGCCTTTCCCTTGTTTGACCCTGAACTCTTACCCACCCACTCTTACCCATGTCCTCCAAAATCTAACCAGCTTGCTATTTACAAGTCTATAACACAACCGCCCTTTTCCATGCCTCTCATCAATCCTCCCACAAATGACTGTTTCCTGCTGTGGTGTCTAAAGCACTTCCTCAAGGCACCTGTGAGTGACCAGGTCTCTCACTCTTCCCAAATCCCGCTCCAGACTGATTTCCTCCACATAGCATTATTAAATCACTCACCACCTTAATTCCCAAGAGAATCACAAACTGTAATTTAGACAGAAACAAGATGCGAGTGCAAACAGCATCAGTTTCACACTGCCTCTCCAGCTTGAGGTCCCCCCACCCCTGGATTATATCCTGTTCAATCTTTGTTGATGAGAATATGTACTGGGTGTAACACAACAAGATCTGCAAGACTGACTTTCCCACACTTGTATTGGATTTGAAAGCTGATGACAGGAGAGGTTAACATGTCCCCAGATCAACCTTGCAGGCAAAAGACTGCCCTGTACCTGTTAATGCACTGTGTTATGCAAGGCAGCAATAATTTCCGTACTACTGAGCTCTCTTAAAACAGCCTCCACAACATGTAGACATTGTTCTACTCGGAGAACAGGCCTGCCCACACTGTCTACATCAAAGCATACCACCTGATGGGGCACAAACATACTAAGAATGCAGTATGTATACCTCAGAAAACCTACTTTCTTTTCCTTTCTTTGTTCCACTGTTTACTTTTGTTTTGCTTGACTGATGAATCTGAGAACTATTATCTTCATCTGAGCTGGCACTGTGCACCTGTGTATCAAATGAAAAGGCTGTGATGTATTGTTGCTGCATGCCACTCTGAATCAACACGGTACAGCAAGTGACCTCTAGAACTCTAGGGCTGCAGGTTCAAACCTTCTGCATGGCTGAGGCCAAGTTTGAAAAGTTTGAAAAGTTAATACATTCACTGCAATGAAATATTTATCTTAATTTCAAATGATCCTTCAAAATAACCTGGAAGGAGTCCCCCATGCAACAAAACATTTTAAGTAAGCACGTAAGTCCCAACAATTTCACCAGAATTCTAAGTTGCTGAACCAAAGCCCAAACGTGCTTCTTACAGTTTCAATGAAATGAACAGATGTGGCAGGATTTCTCCTCTCCTGCCACAAAAAGGCAACTACTTATGGTAGCTCCAGAATGGAGCCAAATATTAGCATGAAATCCCATGTGCATTTCATAAGTGCAATGAATCCAGTAAAACCTAGAGTAAGTTTACCCCAGTTTTCCTCCTTTACACATATTTGCAGGCAACACTTCACGCTCAGATCAGATCAAATCCTCCCAGTTCTGCCACTGCACGAAAAAAACACGTACAAATCTTGAGATTTTCCCCTCTCCCTGTTACACCATTCTTTTGGGAGGCATCACAAAAATATTATCACTCTCACACTCTAATCCTGTAGTTAGTGACAACAAGAAGTGGAGGGGGGAGAATAATTTCCTAAGACTTTTAAGGCTGGAGCATAAGTGAAGGGTGGAGAAGGGAAGGCTGTGGGAGTAGTTAGTGCTGGTCTGGAGGAACATGTTGAAGGACTGATAATGGAGAAAGGATGGGGTGCAGCTTCCAGCATGGCAGCTTAGCTCACAGTGTGACACAATCTCATGAAGAAAGGTCATTAGAACTACCTAAATGTACAAGTTGAAAAGGTAACATAACTATTAACATAAATATTCATCACAGAAAAATGAATCTATTTAAGCCACTTATTATTATTATTATTATTATTACCATTTTTAGCTGGTTATTGTGAAAAAAACCTGCTTTTCCAGGTCTTGCGGTTGCAATACTTGAGTTCTTTGGGTGAACCCTGTACAGAAAGGTCAAAAGGAAATTATAAAAGACAGACTCACAAGTAACTCTCACAACACACATTTCTCAGACTCTAGTTCTAGTCTCTTCTCTAAAAGAGATGACATCAGAGCTTGCAGTCTGGCCTCACCCCATGTTCTGTGATTATTTTGCCTTTAAGAATTGAGGACCTAGGCCAAGTTCTGTTGTATTTGTAAAAAATCAGTTGTTCGTACTTTTTTGAAGGATCAGCTGCTTTTACATCGTTTCCCAGTTGTCCAGCTGAGAACCAAACTATCTGTTGTTTTACTATTATTACATCAGATCACCTCAAAATAGAGCACCTACAGACAGTTTTGCCTTTTTCCTGCTACTACTTTCAACAGTTTTAACAGTGCAGCTTTAAAACAGGAGAGCAAAGATGTTGTGGGTACAAGGGATAGGGAGGGAGACAGAAGGGGAGGGAGGCAATGTACAGCAGGTTTAGAAAATACTTTCCCTCAAAAGGACCTCAGTCCTTCATATCAGGAGAGAGTTGAGGAAGATGAAAAGCACTATCTGGTATATACATTTAAAACATCTAAAATCACATTAATTTGGATTACATTCAGAGTGCAGTAGAAGACACCAGTTTCAAAACTAATGTTAATATCTGTAAAATGTCTAGCAATAAATAACAGCCCTTATTCAAGAAAATTGTCAATGTAAAATATTTATATGTGTTTTCCTGCCACAAAAAAGAAAATCTTGGTACTTCTTTGGGCTATGATAATTGCAAGAAATGCTGCTCTTTAAGGCTTTCTTAAGATTTAAACTCCTTTGTGAATTCAAAATGTGCAGAGGCCACAAGAAAATGTGACATTTTTACCTGGTTACATTGTTTATTCTTTTAAAGGCAATCTGTTTGGGTGAATGACATGTCAAGCCTAGCACACTGATGTCCTCTTAAATGTTTCTCAGCTGAACTGACTGTCATTTCTTAAGAGGCAGAATAACAATGTCTTTTTGTCTGTCATACTTTTTTTATACAGCTCAGGTGTAAAACATTTTTTTTAATCTCAGGAAAGGAAATTAATGAGATTTAAGGTAGCAGTACAGTAGAGGCAACTTTGAAATTCTGCTTGCCTACTATTTTTAGTAATGGCACTTAGCAGAAGTAAAACCTAGCTGATTAGTTATGTAATTAGAAAATGATGAATTCACTTGGTCTCCAAGATACTGAAATTCAAGTGAGAAAACAGTAGCAGATATTTTTAAAAGTTTCCATTTGCAATTTCATGGTACTTCTAAAAGATCCACAATAATCTTCAACTATGAAAAGAGCAAGAATTTGCAATCATTTGTGAGTAGTACAAAGAAAGTGTTTACAAAGTAGTGTGGCAGAGCAACAAAGAAGCTCCCAGCTTCCTTCTGAGAAGACTACAGCGTGCTATTGGCACAGCCACGTGGTTACTTTGCAGTCATTTTATTTTAGGAATGCTGAAAGGCTATGAGACCCTGAGTATACAATGAAAACATAATTCACTGCAAAAGTGAGGTGTTGTCAGACTCCTAGCAGGAAAGCTTATGTTAGAAATAACTAAAGGTTTAGAGACTGGTAGCAAAGGACAGGACAGTTAGTGGCTAATATGTTATTAAACCCTTCATCAAGTATCTTTAAATGATTTATCTCAAGTATCTTCTGTTAATTGTTTCAAAGTTGCATCATGATTAACACCCTGAACAGATCGAGTACACCAAAGAGATGAACTGGATTTCTAGAAAATGCCAAGTGGTACACCCAGTAAGTAAAATCCACATAGAGGAAAACTCTGTCCCACTAGAAGAAATCATTGGGAAATAACAAAGAAGTTCAGAAAGAAAAAATCCCGTGCTCATCTGAGGACATTCAGTTCTGCTCTAAGTTATAAAACAGGATTCCTAGAATAGCAGAATATTGATTTTGTTATGCTTAAGTTTTTTTGATAAACTTACAGGGTTGATTTATTTTCACTATCCACAGTTTGAGACAAAGATTCCTGATTCTCAAGAATGTCATGTTTACCAGTCTGCACCAGTTCAATCACTGAATTTGAACAATCAGTGTCAAGTTTTCTTTTTTTGGAAAAAAACCCATGGTTTCTGTCATTCACAGCACCCTTCTCTTTCAGCTCTTGACCAGCATCTCCCAATACTTCAGCTCTGCTCATTAATCTGCCTGAAAGCAAAAGAAAAGTTTGGTTTGCTTTTTATTTTTTCTTAATGTTTGTTTTCTTAGATGTCACACTCTCATAGGTCAAACTTACATTAAAAAAATACAAGAACATTACTTGGGAAATCAAAATATGAATGCAGTTTGTGATTCTCTGATGTCAATAGAGGTTGACATACAAACTGAATTAGACATACAGCCCTTAGTACAGCATGCACAGACTTATGAGGTAAAAGCCTGAGATAGACTTTGCTCCAGAATGTTTTGATTGCTTGTCTGCCACCATTGCACTGCAAAGATCTTCAAGATTCTTCTGTCCGTTTGATCATATTGCAAGTTAAGATTATATTGACCCACTTTTTCTCCATATTTCCCTGTTCTCAAAAAAAAAAAAAAAAAAAAAAATCCAGGGCAGAGGCCACAAGAGAGGGAGAATTATGCTACATGTCTTCCAAGGGTCACCTTCTGTTACCTGAGTAGGTACAAACAAATGTCCCCTTGTCGATATCATCCAGGCAGCGGACGCCCCAGCCTTTCTTCTCAGTGTTGAACACTTGCAGCCTGACTTGAATGCCGTGCTGCACAACTCTGTTCTGACACATCAACTTGTCACACCTGCACAACACACTGCACTCGTAAATTCTGTCAAGTGGAAGAAGAACAAAACACAATATAAAAGGATGCACTACTAAAACAAAGTTTCTACTATTAATTTCCCTTCATAATCAGCATCAGTGAACTGAAAAGATAAAGACTGACTGAAACTGGTTGTGCAGCAGTGCTCTGAAACTTGTGACTTTCTTGACTGCTGATTCATCAATTTTAAGGGTCTGTCAGCCAGATTTTGGTATAAGCAGACAAGAAAAATAAATGCTAAATTTTTGTTTTATAGGAGTAAAACTCACAGAAGTAGAAATCCCTATGACACACCTCATTCTAAGCTGGAACAGATCTTAGCAAAGACAACATATATGCCTGGACCTCAATGTAGCTTTCATGAGTTTAAAGATTTAACAAAGTATTTCTAAAAGAACTCATCATTGCGATTTTTTTTTTTCATTTGTTTCTGGTTTCTCTGACAGCTTTAGTTGTGCACGTTAACCATAAACTAATATCACACAGCAAGAGAGAACAGAAAGGGCTCCTTAAACCTGTGGGTTCAAGCCCTTGGCTATTGCAGAAAGCTATTTTGCACAATTCCCCTCCTAAACACTTGTAGTGACTAGCACCTTCTCCAGGCCACATATTAATCCCCAGGAGCTGAATAAGAGAAAGGGCAAACACTTGAAGCATTGGATGGCTTTGGAAACTCTTGAAAGAGTCACACATAACCAAGTCTGGCAACAGCAGCTGGTCAGTGTTTCTTTAGGACTCTGGTCATTCTTTACACTTTTCTTAGACCTTAATCTAAGATGTGAAAATTGTAGGATTTGCAGTAGAAGAGTTTTGGGTTTTTTCCCTCCTATTACTCAAGTCACATTAATTATTTTTTATCATCCTGATCTTCAGTAAAATTGTGACAAAAATAGAAGGTTTGAGTTAGTCAAAAACTCCAGTTATCTTAATCCTGTATCGCTTACACTACAGGAGTAAAATAACAGTATACAAATAAAATAGCAGTTAATAGTTTGGTCTTTCCTACCCACTAGGAACCGGTCCCTCCAGTCTTTTGTAACGGTATCCATGGGATCTTTTACTACCTGAAGACAGAGAAGTTTTACTACAGCCTCTTGCAGTTAGCTGTAGGCATGCACATTTTGACCTAAAAGTAAGAATAAAACATCTCAGAATGTATTTGGAGCAGCACAAATCAATCATAAATCTAGGTAAGTTGAAATGTTCTTGACTATACACATGCACACTTGTATATATCACCTCTTCTGGCACAGCATTCCAGTCTGTTAACCTCTACTTCATTACTTTCCTCCCACCTTAGCCCCCAGGAAGTGAAGAATTTTACACTGTGGAGAAAACTCAAGCAAAAGCACTTTTCTTCACTGTCATGTGGCACGACAACTGCAAAGAATTACAGTGATCGTGGAAATCCTGAACCCCAAAACTGCACATCAGAAGCATCTCAACTCTTGTGGGACTCCACTGCTCAGTTGAAACCAAATCACTTTAATTACTGAAGCTTCTTTATACCAGAGTGTGATTTCAAGGTCTTATTGGGTCATGGGCAATTATGCTGCACACTAGCACATGCAACTGCCCCGGCTATCAAAATGGATCCAATGCCAGGTAATACCTACTGATAGAGATCAGACAAACACCCTTCAAGAAAGCAGACAAAATTATCACCTAATTCTCATACAGTAACCGTGGCAGGTTCCCACAGAGTGTCTGTAGCCTGGAGTTACTGAGATTTAGGAAAAGCAATGAACAATACTATTGGAACTGCTCAGACCATAAAGGTATTCTGCGACTACAGAGTTTCATAGTTTCTCTTTAGACAAGGGGAAGGAAAGGATGTAGAGGTTGGGAACAGGGTTGTTTCTTCCTCTGCCCTCAGTAACCTTCTAAATTCTAAATTATCTGATCCTTTCAGGTTGTACCATCCCACCTCTAGGATACCACAGTAGGAGCTGCAGCAGAAATTGTCATGTAGGATCCTTCCCTGGCTGCCAGGAAAACAAGCCTTCCTCTGCTGGCACAAGACTCCCTTCCCTGCACCTTTTCCAAAGCCAAGAGACCTGCTTGTCAGCTCCACCTGGAGGAGAAACACTGCCAATTTGGGAAGAAAGGGAAAGGAACAAAATAATCCACCTGTTGATCAGTTCCTTCACTACAACAGAGGGTGGACCAATAGGAGCACCCAAGTTCTGGAGAAGAGAAAGACACAGTGGTGTTAGTCAACACAGAACGTGGCACGAGACAAATCCTACAGATATTCCAGCAGCGTTGGTCCTGTTTGGCATTGTTTGGTACTGTGCACCTTCACACACTGCCACACTGCTGTTGTGGCATCATGTGTCACTGGTCTGAGATAAGATGTTTCTACCTACTTATCAATGCAGCCATCTGTGCAGTCACATGAGTCCACAAACAGGCTGGAGAAGTTGTTGAGATAATATCCACGTGGCCACGATGACTTCCGATATTTGAAATAAGGTAACCTTGCGTGGTCAAGATTGTTACAGAAGGAGATGGGCACAGACTCGGCTCCGTTGCTAATATCAAAGTCAAACACGAGGGGTTTGGGATTCATGGTGTTCCTGCCCAGCAGTACATATGTGTTGAAGGAAAAGTGATCAACAAATAAGAAATTGCACTTTGTTTCAAACAAATAATTTTGCACATCTCGAAAGCTTCTCAGACTCCGACCGCAAGGAGCTTTGTAATTCACATCCAGTGATTTCGAAAGGCAGTCTGCTTTTGCATGGCGTCTTTGGAAGTGAAACAGGATTGGTATCCTCAGAGGATTTTC